GGGCCTGTAAGCCCTGGATTTCAGGCTTTCGGCCTGAAACAGACACGGGGCCTGTAAGCCCTGGATTCCAGGCTTTCGGCCTGAAATAGACACGGGGCCTGTAAGCCCTGGATTTCAGGCTTTCGGCCTGAAGGACGCAGGGCCTGGAAAATGGCCCACGTGTGCAGGCGCAGCATACAACACCCCCCCCTCCTTATGAAGTCAAGCCGGGGCGAGGGCGAAGTTGACGATCTGAAGGTGGAACCAGGACGCGGGCGCGGCGTGGAGCCAAAAAGACCGGCTTGTCTTGCATCTTACGTTCATAGCGTGCGAGAATGTCCGGAGCTGTTGATTGGAGATCTGCACGGGTCAACCAACGGTCAGCTCGGTGGCTGCAGTATGCAAAATGGACCAGATATTCGGTCGGACGGTTGCCGTAACGGCGCTGAGGGAGGATGTCGCTGACCTCTTGGAAACCATCCATAGAGGGTGGGTCTTGCGATCGTCGCCCGGGAAAATCATCATGGTCTGCTGGCGTGTAGAGAGCCAACTTGGAGGAATGGAAGACCGAGTTGATGGGCAAATGGGCGGGCACCTGAATGATGAAGGAAGGTCCTTCAGGTGCATCTCCAGCGGGTGTTGTGATCGGCCAGGGCCTCATCCATTTCGGAAGGAGCTTGCGAGAGATGTCTTGTTCAAGGCTGAACTCCGCGGTGGAAACTCAAACAAGGTCACCAGCGAGGAATGGGCAAGGAAGACGCTGGCGATTGGCCTGCTGGCTCATGCGCTACTGCGTCTTGGCCATCTGGTCGCGTGCCTTGACAAGAAGCTCTTGCATCCGTCGCAAGAAAAAAAAATGGTCGTTGCTCTCGGCCGCTCGTCAAATGATGGTATCCAACAGAGAAGTGACCGGCGAGCCGTGCTCGAACTCGAAGGGTGACATCCCAATAGTCGGGTGGATGGAGGAGTTGTAGGCGCTTCCCTTCGGCGCAAGGGGACCGGTAATGGTCGCAACTCGCCGTACAGACGGTGATTGCGGGATTTGCAGCGTCTGCAAACCTCGCATGACTCGCAATAGCGTGTGACGTCGCCGAGAAGGACGGGCCACCAAAATCGCTCGCGAAGTCGGCCAATCGTGCAATTGACTCCAAAATGTCCGGTGGCGGGTGCATCGTGGAACTCGCCAAGACGCCGTGTACACAAGTGGGAGTCACTCGGCACACAAAGAAGGTCCTTCCCGCGCGAGTGGACAAGCAAGTACCCCTCCTGGATCCGATAGTGAGAAGGCGCCGGATTAGGAGAGGAGCAATTCGCATACTTGTCGTGAAACTCGAGGTCGGCTTGGTAGCCGCGGACGAAACTGTCCCGCAGGTCCTCGTCAATCTCAAAAGTCGAGTAGACCGCGGTGCAATGATCCGGACGCGGTGAAAAAGCATCCGCAAAACGGTTTGACTTCCAAGGAATGTGATCCGGAAAGAAGTCAAACTGGTCAATGAAAGCCATCCAACGAGCGATGGTGCTGTTGACGATGTCCTGGGTCTTGTAAAAGACCAACGGATTGTTATCCGTCACCCATCGGAATTGACTTCGACCGAGGAGGAAGTGCCGCCACCGCTTGAGCGCGTGGACGAAGGCGAGGAGCTCCTTCTTGCGTGCATCGTCGATGGAATGCACGAGGGGCACTTTCTTGCTGAAGTACTCGACCGGGTGGTAGTCCACTTCATCGTGCTGCTCAAGGACTGCACCAATGCCATAACCGGACGCATCAGTAGTGACACGTGTAGGCAACAACAGGTCGTAGATACGCAAGACCTCCGCATAGAGCAATGCGGCCTTGAGGGCCAGAAATGATTCCCGCGCATCCTCATCGAAGTCAAACAGCCGATCCTCGCATTGAAGCTTGGTCAAGTTAGCCGCGATCTTCGAGTAGCCCTTGATGAAGCGCTGGTAGTAGCCGACAAGACCGAGAAACAAACGGATATGCATGACGTTCCGCGGCTCCGGCCACTCCTGGATGGCCTGAATCTTGTCCGAAAGCGGACGGATGCCCTCGGGTGTGATAAAATGGTCCAAGTATTCAAGCTCTTGTCGGACGAATTCACACTTGTCCCGATTAGCTTTGTACTTGGCACGACAGAGTGTCTCCAACACACGTCGGAGATGCCCAAGATGATCCTCCAAGGTCCGACTGTAGACGAGAATGTCATCTAGGTAGACCAGCACGAATCGGTCCAACATCGCACGAAACTCTTTGGTCATTGCCGCCTGGAAGGTCGCCGGGGCGTTGGTGAGGCCAAAAGGCGTGACCACCCACTCAAAATGCCCATACCGCGTCTTGAATGCGGATTTGTAACAGTCATTCGGGTGTATCGACAGCTGATGATACCCCGACTTCAAGTCCAACTTGGAAAAGTACTTGGCACCGCCTAGCCGCTCCAGAAGATCGTCGATGCGAGGAAGAGGCCCCGCATTCTTGACGGTTTGTGCATTGAGCTTGCGGTAGTCAATACACAGACGTAGATCCTTGTTCTTCTTCCGGACGAAGAGAACAGGTGCTCCATATAGAGAGCTGCTAGGGCGGATCCAGCCCTTGGCCAGCAAATCGTCGAGTTGTGCGCGGAGGACCTCAAGCTCCTCCTCGCTCATGCGATAGATGCAACCTTTCGGTGGCACGACACCGGCTTCAAGAATGATCTCGTGAGAGATCGGCCGATCCGGCACCACACCGGTAGGTGTCTCGAAGATGTCGGCGAACTCGTCCAGCAACCGTACCACACGGGGGTCCGAAGACAAGTCCGTGGGTGAAGAGTCGACTACCGCGATGGTCGGTAGGAAGCATAGGCCGATTTGCTCGGGCTGCTCGTAAGCGCAAGTCGCCCGGAATGATTTGGCCGTCACCACTTGGCACCAGATCGAAGGGTGCAGAAGAGGAATAGTACACGGTACTTCGGCGCTGAAAGCGTCGCGAACAGTGAGAGTCCGCCGATGGAAGTTGACCGTGTGATCCGCACTTGCAAGCCAAGGCATTCCCAGAATAATGTCGAAGTCCGTATCCAAAATATCAAATGTCACCGGCTCGCATGGATGAGGTGCGAAGTACACCGGTACGGCTTCGATGTAACTGTCGAGAAGTTGCTGCGCCTTACCATCCGCCAACTTGATTGCCGTCGGGTTTGCTTTCCTCCGAACTTGTGCGCCAAGGCCAGCCCTTTGCATGAAGGATTGATTCATGAAGTTGCGAGACGCGCCGCTATCCAACAAAGCGCTGCAGGACGCTTGTCCAACCTGGATGCGGACATACATCAGCGGTGCATTGTTGTCATCGTACCGCTGTGTGCGAAACTCGCGGGCCACCTTGGTAACGTACGCCAAGATGTCCCCCACCGCGACTTCGTCATCCGCCGTCGAAGTTGGTGGTGCATAGAAGGACAAGTATTTGTGGAGATGAGCGCAGAGTGCTGCGCACTGCGGTCCCGGCAAGCAGCCCGTGGTCGGGAGAGGAAGCCATGCGAAATCCTCATACGTGAGCGGGTCCAATACCTCTATGTTGAACTCGCGCGCCGAATCCCGTGAAGAACCACTGGAAGATGATGATGAACTGTCGCCGGACGGAGAAGAAACCGCACATACGTCTTGTCCTTGAGCAAAGGTACCCAGCGTAGGAACGAGCCGGGCAGCATAGTCCTCGAAAGAGTACAAGAGAGGAGGACTATCGACTTCCGCCTGTGCTTCGGAATGAAGGCTGGTTACTCGCGAAGAAACCGGTTCCGACGACGTTAAGAGTGTCGTCGAATCACTCTTGGCGGTGCTCAGTTTCCCTGTCTGCCCTTGCCTTTCAATGGGCAGGCGATTATCTCGTGGAGGTCGCTGTTGCACCAGAGGCAATAACGGTACTTCGTGCGTTGCTTGTATACAAGCTCCGAGATACCGTATTGGGACCATGGGGCCTGAATTGCTGCGCCGGACCCGGGGATAAAAGTGGTGTTTGTCTTCCCTCTGCCGCGTCCTCGGCCTCTGCCGGCGCGGCCACCATCCCGGGCGGTTGCGAGTCTGTCTCCTTCACTGGCAAACACGGCCTCGCTATAAGACTGGTCGGGTGGTGTTGCCGCCGCGACCATGGCCACCTTGGGCCGATGCTGGTCCCTGCTTGGGCCTGCCGCAGACGAACGACCGAGGTTCTTGGCCTCCTTGTTCGTGACAATGATCTGCGCGGCCTTGTCGAAAAGCTCAGCCGTGGTCGTCAAGGTCTCGTCAACGTGCGTCAACGCATTGCTTAACGTCAGGCACGACCTCGAGATGAAGTAATGCTTGATGGCTTTGAAGCCCATCTGCAGAGCCGGGACGGATGTCAAGCGCTGGTACTCGGCTATCCAGTCGACACTCGGCAGCGTGCCCGGCTCGAAGAAGAGCAGTTTGTCCATGGCCTTGATCTCTGGCGGCTCCACCTGGAACCGCTTGTGCCATGCTGCCTTGAGGTCTTCCAACTGATCTTTGTATGCAGGTCTGCAGCAACCACGCCGTACTTGGACAACAGATTGTCCAACTATGCCTGGCATGCTCCCCCTGACCGGGAGTATAAGTACGCGTGGTTCTTATGTACGCTGACGTAATGAAGCTGCAGCGTCAGTTCGAACTTGCGGAACCACTTAACTGGGTCCGTCTTGGACGAGTCGAGGAAGATTGTCTGGCCGTCCCACTTTGGAGTTGTCTCACGTTCTGAGGAACTTGGATGGGCGGTGTCGGACCAAGGGTATTTGGCCATGCTTTTGCATTAGACACCGTGATGACATCGACTACCAGGACGGAGCCAGTCTGGAATGGAAAGGGTGTGCACGCTTGAGCGTGACACTCGAAACAAATTCCTCGGTCATTAAGGTCAGGGCAAAAATTGGTGAGAAAATTTCGTTAAGTGTGCGCGCGCGTTGTTATGACGCACGCTGTGCAGTAATACCCTTCGAGCGAAGAGGTCGAGGGGTCTGTTGGGTTAATATTGTGTCGGTAAGATCTATGACACGCACAGAGACTTAATCGTCAGTACATTAGTCAGAATAAATTAATATAACGCCCCGACCGTACGGCCGGAGCAATTAAAACTGTGGGATCGTCGACTTGTCGTAGCGTCAAGGTTGTTAAGCACATGCTCGAAGGGGTACCTTCCGTCCATTACTCATATACCGCAAGTGAGGGTGAAAACCTCGCTCAACCACCCATGTGAAATGGGACACATCCCTCTTGGGCAAAAACTTTCTGGTCGCTCGACTGCACGAGCAAACCGGTGTCTCCTCCCTTTATGAGGGAAACATCAGTACGGACCCTGATATCGTTCGTACAGGCATTAGACTCAGGCTACTTGGACTGGTACCTGCCTACCTACCGCTTCTTAGCCCTAAAGGTGCTAACTTTGTCTTCTTCTGCTCGGCGGCCGGTTCCCTACACATCTACCGCTACTCGGGTGGTACCGGCAGACCCGTCGGTTGAGTGTTCTCCCGATTACAGCCCTCAATGTGAAGGCTACAGGTAAGTACCGACCCTCGGACCTTCCGAGGCAATCGAGTGCCCTTGAAGGGCACACACACACACTCCAGTCGACAAGCACTCCAGTCGACAGGCACGCAGTCCAGCGTGCACACACGCGCAGGCTAGAACGGGCTCAGGCCACTGGTTGGACTGGGCCACGCTGCTTTATACATAGTAGAGCTACTCCCCTTTGACTCCCCTTCTACTTGAAGTGGGAGCTAGCTCAGTAGGTTTCAGTACTGTTTGATGTGTGGGGGATCTGGGGATTAAGACGCATTGTCCTTTGAGCTTGCTCCCATTTTGAAAGGGAGCTCTACTTTCGTTTCTCTACTTTCGTTTGCCCGATCTGAGATGACCGGGACTCGAACCCGTGACCTTAGTGTTAGGATTAGTTATAGTTAGTTAGTATCTCGGACACTTGGCACGACAGGGCAGTTAGGTAGTTAGATTTCTTTATTTATTTGTTTTTCTTTTCTTTATGATTATCAAGATCCTTTGTTTATTCTTAACTGTTATTTATTTATTTGTTTATTTATTTATATTTTATTTTCTCTCCTTTCTGATCTTGTCTAAAAAACTACCGAACCGGTCGTGAAAACCGGGGCAAGTTCACTCCCCGAAAACTTCTTGACATCTCCGTTTCAGCGTTTAGTTTCGATACATGCCCGGAGGCGAGCGGGAGAAGGATTGCCCTCCCGTGTAGGGGGAAGAACGATGAGGAAGGGATCGCGTGAAGGTAACACGAGTACGACACATTGGCACGACAGGGAAAAGAGCAAGAGTAGTTAGATTTAATTACAGTTATTATATTTTCTTTTATGTTTCTTTTTGTTTTTCTTATTTTTATTAGTTATATTTTTGTTTTATTTTCCTCGTTGAAACTGCCCGATTTCATGGGCAGATACATTCCCGAGAGGGGAAAAAAAAAAAAAAAAAAACCACTATCTCTAGGCTGTGTCGGATCCGGGACGATCTGGGTCACGAGCAGACGGAAGTCGCGCGAGCGCAACTTGCCGAAGATGGCACGGGCGCTGACAGCGAGCCTATGCACCGAGGAGAAAGGCAAAATGTCGGGACAGGAAGAAGGTGACCGCGCGGGGGAAACAGCTAGCGGAGGATGATGGAGGTGACTACGGGAGCGGGCATGGCAACAAAGGAGCGCGCGTGCAGGGGACATGAAAAACGGGTGCGAAGAAGAAGAAGAAGAAGAAGGAGAGAGGAGTTGCGCAGGAGGAGAAAGGAGGCAAACATGTGAAGAAGAAGAAGAAGAAGAAGAGTAGTAGAAGAAGAAGAAGAAGAAGAAGAAGAGGAAGAAGAGAGAGACGAGAAGGGGGTCTTCATCGGGACGGGGAAGATTGTTGTAATTATCGATCTTGAACGACGAAAGCCTAGTAAACCCGAGTCATCTGCTCGCGCTGGTTACGTCCCTGCCCTTTGTGCACACCACCGTCGCGCCTTCCGATTGAATGGTCCGGCGAAGTGCCTGGATTGCGGTGATCTCGGCGGTTTGCCGCCGGGGTTGCTATGAGAAGTTCGTGAAACATTATCACGAAGAAGAAGAAGAAGAAGAAGAAGAAGAAGAAGAAGGGGGAAGAGGAGGAGAGGAAGGAGAAGGAGGAGAAGGGAAAGTAGAGATGGATACTTACCTGGCGACGGACGACGTCGACGGACGGGCTGACGGCGACGATAGGCTGACGGCGACGACGGGCTGACGACGACGACGGCTCGACGACGACGTGGAGCGAGATAGAGAACAGGTAAGCTTTTAATATCGCAGCTTACCTCAGGATAAAACCAAATAAAACAAAATAAATAAAATAAAATAAATTAATTAATTAAAATAATGAAATCAAATGAATCTAACGCAAAACCTTGGAAATATACGTTGTCACTTGTGTGTATGTGTGCGTGCGTCCGTACGTGTGTGTGTGTGTATGATAGAGAGAGGGAGTTATTTCTCCTTCCTCGCCTAAGTCCGTCGTCTCTCCCTCACCCTCTCGCTACCTGACCTCTCTGTATCTATGGACAAAGAGAGAGAGAGAGAGAGAGAGGGAGACTATAAGTCTCCAACCTGCTCGCTTCACCGCGCGCTACCTGGATCGATAGAACGAGCAAATAAAAAAGTGGCAGTGTATAATTCCACGTTTCAGCGGAAGATTCATTCCGTTTTGCTCGTCCTATCGATGGGATGTGTGTGCGTGAGACGCTCATGATTCGGCCAAGGAGAGAGGGAGAGAGAGAGAGAGAGACAGACAGAGAGCCAAAGAAAGAGAGGCTTACCTGTAGCGCCGTTGCTCCCGCTTCGTCTTCGAGATACCTGCAACATGCGCCAACATCCCAGGTTAGTACCTGGCTCGAAACAGAGAGAGAGAGTGTTCTTCTTCTTCCTCTTCTCAGTCCACCATCTCCTTCTCCTCTCTCTCATCATCTAACTTCTCAGTGTTTGTGGACTACGAGAGAGAGAGAGAGAGAGAGAGAGAGAGAGAGAGAGAGAGAGAGAGAGAGGAAGTGTGTGAGAGAGAGAGAAAGAGGACGGAGGGAGAGAACAAACAGGTGAGACCCCGCGGCTGGCTGCACGCTACCTCCATCAAAAACGATAAACAAAAATCGAATGAATCTACCGCTAGAACGTGGAAATGTACATGCCACACTTGATTACTCGATTGTGTGTGTGTGTGCGTGTGAGGGCACGTGTGTGAGTGTGTGTGTGTCGAACGTAGCAGGCATCACACTGCTTCTACAAGTAGGATGAGCAAAAGCCAAATGTATCTGACGCTGGAACTGGGAAATATACACTATTACATCTACGTGTATGAGTGTGTGTGTGTGTGTGTGTGTGTGTGCGTAGGGGCACATGTCTTGTGTTTATGTGTGCGTTTGAACGTACCATGTGTGTACGATGTTATGGATAGCCTACAATGTACGTTCCGTTTCACTAAGAACAATACTAAAACTTGGACATCTCTTTCCGACGAATCTAGTCAGGATTACGGCCTCTTCCGGAGGGGTCAATCGTGAAATTTTCAAGCCCATCCTCACCCAAGTAGATGCCCGATCATTATCACTATATCTGGACTGGAAGGTGCATAGTACAACTGCAGATACAGGGCGGTCTATCTGGATGGAGGCAACGGTGAGATTGCGGTCTGAGATGCCTCGCCATCCTATCGACGAGGTGTGTATGTGAGTGAGAGATAGAAAGAGAGGGAAGTCGAAAGCGAGAAGCGGGAGGAGCGCATCGGGGAAAAGGCGGGAAGAGAGGCGCGGGGCAGAAGTGGAATGCAGGGAGAAAAGGGAGATGGCTGCGCCGCAGAAGATGGCACACGAGGAGGAGAAAGATGAAGAAAGGAGAAGAAGGAGAAGTAGGAGAAGAGGGAGAAGTAGGAGGAAGAAGGAGAAGTAGGAGGAGAAAGAGAGTGGGTGAGGCAACGGCATCACTAGCGCAGGGCAAGGAGAGAAGGAGCGAGAGTGCAAGCAGCGGGGTGAACGCAGATATGGAGAATGGAATCGGAGCACGGTGCGCGAAGCAAAGGGGAGGGAGAAGGAGACCGTGCGAGGGAGAACGAAGGGAGAGCTGAAGGGGAGATGAGAAGGTGACAAAGCCTGCGACCACAACAGCTGAAACCTCGGGGGCGATACAACCGGGTGACTACTACGACGATAACGAAGAAGCAAGGGAAAGACAAAGAGGTAGGAGGAAGGAGATAGAGATAGAAAGGGCTTACCTATAGCCGTTGGTCGTCGTCGCTGCTTTTGGGCGACCAACCCAAACACCACGCACCTTCACTTCGTCTGTACCTAACAAAAAAATATAGCTAGTATACATTCAAATTGAATGTATGTATTATTATTAATTATTTTATTTACTAGTACTATAATTATCTGCTTAACATTAAAATACGAATACCTGCACTTATTTGTCGCTGTCTGGGTTGACGACTCCCTCTTCTTCTGAGTAGAAGGTCGGCCCTGTCAGAACGACACCATACTGTTGAGCTCTCGGCAAACGAATGTCTTGACCCGCTCAACGATAAAGTTCGCAGCAAGTATGTTGCTCAATGTCAGTTGCAGAATAAAGAGGGAGGGGAAGAGAGAGACGACTGGGA